GGGGGGCGGGAATAATTGACTATTATGAGTAGAACTGTTTGGTCGAAAATTGATGTTGGCTCAACAATGGCCCAATTATTCAAGCAGCAATTAACTTTAAGCACAAATGGTCGCTTTTAAGCACAAAGGGGTTATCCCAGAAAATGCTGTTTTGAGAAAATCGGAAGTAAAGTTTTTGAACCCTTGTTCAGTTTCTTTAAAAGGCAAGGAGAGTTTTCTCAAAAAACAAACGAGTATACCCACCAATGAAACCACACTTCTCCTATAGGTACGGCAATCCCCACTTTTGGTGTAGGTTAAGATTTCTGGAAACCCCCGAAATCTGGGTTAGCCCGCTTGTCCTTAAAAGCGACAAAATTGAAGGACCCTCAAGTTACGGTTGCACAAAGACAAAACTAATAGTAATAGTTATACTTCAGGACATGACAAATGATTTGGCGTACCGCATAAAATCCCTCTGGTATAACGTAATACACCCGGGATCTGGCGTCTTCGTCTGTCGCCCGGATGTTGGTGACTATGCTCGTTTCTAATTCTGTCATCTGGGGATGGAAGACAAGAGGGTTAACGGTTTGAGCCTTCGTTTATATATATGGGGATTGTTCACAGATAAGTTAGAATTGTTGTTAATTTTGTGGTTACTGGTTCCTTACCACAGTTACTATTGTTGTTGCTACCACTTGTTGTTGTTGTTGTTGTTATTGTGTGTGTGTGCGCGTGTGTGTGTGTGTGTGTGTGTGTGTGTGTGTGTGTGTGTGTGTGTGTGCGCGCGCGCACACATTGTTCTCTGGTCAAATTAATTAGGCTACATGTCCAGATACCAGATCTATAGCCTATATATGAAATATATATCAAGTAAAAATGCGAGTTATGACGTATTATATAAGATACTTGTAAATAAACTGATTACAGAACCAGTTACAATCTACTCACCTCCCTCTGGGGAAACTTTTCCGTTGGTGTTAGCCGATTTGTAGCCTTTTAGTTCAGCCATGTTTTGATCTCCTCAAATATGCCCTTCGTCCAGGCACCTTGACGCGTACGTGTAGTGACCGCCTGCGCGTCGATCCAACTGCTTTTATCTTCTGCCTCTCGAGCCCCGTCTCCCCCTCTCTTTCTCTCCACTCTCCAGTGTGCTCTCTTCCCGAACACACACGCAGACGCCCTCTATCACACCAGCGTTATTCAGTGCCCCGTGTTGACCTCACAATGGACACGGGTAGCCACTCGCTGCAAGGCTTACCTCACCTAGGCCTAGCCAAGTAGTCGGATCAAGAGTGTGTCGAGAGGCTTGCCATTTGCCATTCAATGCTGGACGTGGTTAGGAAGTTATGGCAACATTGCACACCATGACCTAGCCGCAGCGTGGAATATTATATATCAAGCCAGAGGACGACGTGCTCGGGGTCCAGGACCAATCACACACGGTCTTTTCTGCTTCCACGAAGTACTTGGCTTGTCAAATCTTAGCCACAAATTTACTAGATCTAGATCTCTCCTTATCTAGCCAATGAATCTGAGTGGCATGTTCTTTCCAGATGTTTAAAGACTCGATGCTTTGATCTGATCATCGAAATGTCAAACATCAAAGACCTGGCTCTATGAGGCGTTGCCCTCAGAAGAACACTTTTGATGATTCTGAGGAAGAGTGAAATTTTTAAATATTTTTTTAAACAAAGGAAATGAACAAAATGAGACTAAAACGGAAGATGGTACCTAATAGGGACGCTGAAAACTAAAATGTAACTTTGTCTGAAGCTGCAGGGATAAACTTTGAGAATGATTGGTAATATCCATCGTACTCCACTTCGGATTCAGAACAAACTGCTATGTAGTAGTAGCTATACGTTCTTATACTAACTCTGACCGTCTAGAGTAGTAGGGTTGCAGGACCCATGCTGATAATCACCTGGTCAATTTTTAAACAATTGTACCTACGCATTGCGGTCAGTGTTTCATTTACATTTTTTTGGGGGAAAAAAAAGGGGGGGGGGGAGTTTTTTGTTGCTTTTCTAATTGCATCAAAGAAAATAGTCTTCAGGTAGACCTGATAAGTCTTACACGGTGGGTCGTCTGAAGGGGAGGGACGGGGTGGCTGTTACCGCGCGGGTAGCTCGTTGTTTACTCATTCATTGTCTTTATGTAATCTGTTTTCACTTTTTCCCTCCGACAAATGATCCCAATTCGATGTCCCTCTTGTTTTAACCCAACTTAACAAACAGACATGCATTTAACTCAGGTGAGAAAGGTTACAAAGGACACCCGAGTAAACGTAAGGATTTATGAGGCGAGCTTTGCTTCACGATTCACATTGATCAGAAGCCTGTCGGGCAATATGAGACTAGGGCCAGGGAACAAAGTGCAGTTCCTTTCCCTCGTGTTTTCGACAGCTAACGAGTCTGAGAGAGCTGCACTAAAGATATAAAGTAATAAATCTGTCAGTGAAATTTATTTGGACATATTCTGTGCTTGTAAAGTTCTCCGGTATGGAAACGATCTAGATTCTAGATCTACTCCCATATCTCATCGGGTAAAATCTAGGTCCCAAGAAACCCTAGGGTCAAATACAATCATGTTTAACTGTATTATTCTGTAAATTTTATTTCACACAGTACGTCGTTTCAACTAGCGGCCCAACGATCCAAAGGAACCACCCCTATTTTAATTCCTGTGAACTGTGGCCTTAAAACCAAAGATTGTTTCTATATAACTTCCTTAGTGCTATACCCCCCCCCC